TATATATATATATATAATGTCAATAAAAAGGATAAAGGGGAAGATTTAGACAAAGTATGTTTTTTTATAGACAAAATATATTAATGAATTCTAGTAATTAAAAGTATTTAATTTTCTGAAAATATATTAATTCTTTGACATAAAAATTTATTGCTAGAACAGTAACGTTTTTATAAAAATTATCATAATTGATACCAACTTCACTAAATGGATCATGGTACATGACAATTGAGTCATTCAATAAAATTTTAGTTCATAATTTTTAGCAACTATTTTTATGAGTAGTGATTGCATTATTTTTATTAATTATGGATGCTATTTGTAACTAGGAATGATTTGACTATTTTTTTCTTCATCAATTCCAATAATTAAACATTTACGTCAATAAGCCTAAAACGCTTTAGTGGAAATAGTCATCGAATAATTTATTGTGTATGAATGATACGTGAAATTATGAATGTGTGTAAATTTTCTCTTCAGTAATTTCAATGATTAAGAATTTATGAGAAATCGCAATATTGAATATGCGATTGCAATGATTCATCATATTCATAATATTTATCATAGTCCGTAACAGATTCAAGGTACACTCCTCATAAATAGTTTAAAAAACAGAAAAGAGTTCTTCGGCACATAAATATTTTATTTTGGCAATGTTTCTAATAAATTACAAAAGTATTCATAAATATACAAAAATATATACATTTATATATACAGGCACTGAGATTTTTCTTTTCAGAAATTATGCTCTTCTGTAAATCTCGCTTTTTCCTCACGCAATATGAATGAGAAGTATGAGTTCGCTTGCTTGGGGAAAAATAGGATTTGTTGAAACCATAGTAACGCTCTGGGGAAAAGTGTGAAGAGAGGGAAAATCGCCTAACCTTGAGCCGTCAATCTTTTTTTTATTTTTACAAAAAGTAAAGCTGTAAAGGTTGAAAAGGATTTGTTAAAAGTGTTGCCGCGAGTAAAGGAATTTTACGAATTGTCACACAGAAAATTTGATAGTTTTTAACTTAAAGTGAAATACGTTCTAAATATTACTTAAACTTAGATGTTACCACAATTATTTATTACCTAAATCTAAAATTTTTTCTCAATTCCGATCGATTAAAAATATGCAAAAAAAGAAAAAGATGTAAGAAAGAAAAGTACCGATTTTTATTCTTCTACTACCATTAAACAGTATATCGATTTCTTAAATCCGATATTTCTTAATTTCTAACATTAAATTTCTTGTATATCTACCTTTTTTTTACTTCTAACTTATAAATAAATACCATGCGGTGATAAGAGGAAATTTTTGCTACATAATTCACTGTGCAAGAAAAATTTCACCAAATTATTACCGTTGCTAGACCCTTGTACTAGCGAATGGCTAATTCATTCTCATGAACGTACATAGGAATTTGTATAGGAATACATTTTTAATACACATCATTGATTGCCCCAATGTAATTTTACAAGATACAAGGCGAATGAATTTGTACAATTAAGATTATCACAATTTACAATTTTAAATACATTGTATATTTAATACATTGTAAGTTTTAATACATTGTACATTTTAATACATTGTACATTTTAATACATTGTACATTTTAATACATTGTGCATTTTAAATACATTAAACACCTGTATGATTTTTTGCCAAATGTATCTCATCTCGAAAATTCTATATTCGAGATGAGATTTCGATAATAGAATTAATAGAATACAAAAATAGAATTTTCGAGATGAATATCTCATCTCGAAAATTCTATTTATGACTTTAAAAACACCTTCAAGTCATTTTGAAAATCCGACTGGCATCTTCGACACACACTGACTAATGTATTAGAAGCTTGGAAGATTTTCCCTTACCATGTTCAGTCAGTGTACAAGGGTCTGATGGGAGTACCATGATGTGAAACATGTTCTGCTGGTACGGAAGGGGGTGCCTTGGTGTTCCTCAAGGGTAAGCAAAACGCCATGCAACACCTGGACACGTTGGAAAATCAAACTCATCCTAGAATGTTACATTTTTATTCCGAAGGCGACGGGCACTTCATGGACGATAAAGCATAAGAACATCGTACCGGAAGTGAACAAAATTGATTCAATAAACACCAATCTGACTTCCAGCATCGCAAACTCCAGATCTTAACCAAATAAAAATATTCGGGACATGTCGGAAAAATATATAAAACAGAAATCTTCTTTTCCATCTAATTTACAGGATTTTGAAGTCAGCGTAGCCAATGTGCTGAACATAAATGCATTCCAGAAACTTGCAGATTCAACGAATACTTTATTCGTGCAAAAGGATATCGAGGAAAATATTATTTATCCATGATAATTAATTACATAATATAAATATAATATTATTAATATAATACAGGGTGTTTATAAAGTCTCGGACCCATTTTGATGTTTAATAACTCATAAAATGATAAAGATAGATTAAAATTAATAACATGGTTAATGATGTTAACATGTTAAAATTAATGACTAGTTAGATAGACTCAAAAAGTTTCATGACCCTTGTCAATAAACTTCCACGTGTGTCCCCTTCGTCGCACGGAGAATTTCAAGTCGATAGTCAATTTCACGCCAGGTAGCGGCAAGCACGTCGGTAAGCTTTCATGTTTCAGGCATTGTTAGTCGCCATAATGTGTGCATATGGGGATCTGAAAACCCCCATGAATACCGTGAGACGCAAAGGGATTCCCCAAAGGTTAATGTGTGGTGTGGACCTTTCCATCGGGCCTTTCTTTTTTACAGAAAAGACGGTCTCATCAGTCGTTTATTTAGACATGTTGGAAAACTTCGTATTTCCACAACTAGAAGAGCTTCAGCCACTTGTCTTTTTGCAACAAGATGGTGCACCACCTCATTGGGGTATCATCGTTCGTAGTTCTTTGAATGACCATTTTCCAGGAAGATGGATTGGGCGAGGAGGTCCAATTCCTTGGCCTACCAGATCACCTGATATAACGCCGCTAAACTTTTTTCTTTGGGGATTTATAAAGGACAATGTTTATAGGAGGATCGTGTCGAACATTGATGACCTAAAAGCAACCGCAATAGCCTCTGTGGATGCCGACATGCTTGCGCTACCTGGCGTGAAATTGACTACCGACTTGATGTTCTCAGTGCGACGAAGGGGGCACACGTGGAAGTTTATTGACAAGGGTCATAAAACTTTTTGAGTCTATCTAACCATTTATGTTATTAATTTTAATCTATCTTTATTATTTTATGAGTTATTAAAAATCAAAATGGGTCCGAGACTTTATAAACACCCTGTATTATTAATATAATATTTTTTATCAATCCAAGAAAAATAGATCTAATTCATTGGCCAGTGTGTGTAGTAAACAAATGCAGAATCACTTATCTTAATTGGCAGATCTCATGGCTTGTCTTAAATTACCCGCCAGGGAACTACAGGATTAATACAGAAAACACATTATCATTTACTTCTACTAATAGCAGTGTGGTGTTAGCGTAAATGTTTTTCCACCATGTCTGTATGGGGCTTCAGAAGTTCGACAAAGCAAGCTAGAAGTGAGAGTTTTGGGCCTGAAAATATAAGATAAAAGTTACATTTAATTGTAAATCAAGGTTAAAGAGTGTGTTAACCCTTTGACGCACATGGGCACCGGTGCCCCTTTTATTTATTCTTTTCTGAAGATCTAATTGCAAGCATAAATATAATTTGGTATTTTTTTAATTATATTAAAAAAAAAACAATCTAATTGTTACTAAAAAAATCTGTTAGATTATCGGAATTATATTTGTAGTACAATATGAAATCCAAAAAAAGTAGTTTTGCTTTTTTTTTGGGTTCCTATTCAAAAATGCATCAATTTCAAAATTTATCTATCTGCGTATGTTTTCAATGTTTAAATGTATCAATGTTTCAAAAATGTATCGATCCTGCGATTTTGTAAATTTAAGAAATTTTAATGAGGAGAAATTGTTTCCCTTAACTGAAAATATGTGCGAATTTGAAGTGAGCCGTGTTCGGTAACTTTTACCTTTGACGCACAAAGAGACATCGGTGTGTCATGCTGTATTAAATAGCCATAAATTATTAAAAAACTAAATATAATATTTTTCACTTATTTTGACCTAAATTTATGCAAAATAATGAAAAATATGTTTAATAAAAATTCTGCGTCAAAGGGGTAATAAGAAAAAAAAAGATTTTGGACAGTTAACAATTTGTACGTAGGTTCTGCACAAATTCTGTAGTTATAGCAAATGAGTTGCACAGAATACTATATACTTGATAAGTAGTAGGTGAAAGTTATCTATATAAGTAATGAGTAGAAGCCGTGATGACTCATGGGATAGAGCGTTCGTCCTCCAATGAGGTGATTCGGGTTCGAATCCCAGCGATGGCTAGACCATACAAGTTCTGCATCGACCACAGCGCTGACTTAAAATATCCTCAGTGGTAGACGGATAATGGGCTAGAGTCCCCTTGCCGTCAGGATAACCGTGGGAGGTTTTCATGGTTTTCTCCACCATGTGTCACAAATGCGGGTTAGTTCCATCAAAAAAAGTCTTCCACGAAGGGTAAATTTCACCCAATATATTTGATCCAGGAGTTCCCTTGTCTTCTGGGTTGAGTTTAAATTTACAAAGCTTCGCAGTTGAACATTATTAGTCGTAAACCCAAAAATTGGATTGACTGATCAACGACAGTTATGGAATTATAAAAATAAAATGCGTAATAAGTGGGAGGGGGGCTAAGTGAAAGAGCAAAACTTCTCTATTTGAAAAAGAATTCATCTTTACGAATATATTATAGTCGGATATAATTTGTCATTCCTAATATGTATACTTTTTGGACTTATTTTGATAAAGATTAAAATGTATATTACAAGCAGTTGTAGCGGCCCAACCTGTTAAATAACATTAAAATATCGCATGGAGAAAAAAAAACACTAAGATTTCGTGAGTAATATACTTACAGTGGATAAAGGTAGTTGACTTCCATTTTTTCCACTATCGTGCTTTCTTTATATCCATGGAGATGAGTTGAGATGTAGGATTCCTGATGATGTTTTGGTGGCAAGAACGAAATGGTAACAGATAACACTTCTCCAATGGGTCGATCGGTTGAGACCAGAAATTTTTTCGCTTGTGTTGGTTTTGCATGATTCACGCTGCAAAGAGACATGCGGTTTGTAAATAAGGATAGAGATATAAAAAAGGAATAATAATAATGATAGAGATATAAATAGGGATGTATGTGTCCGGATTTCGAAATCATTTTTAACGTGTCTTGAATTATTTGCGATATTATATACATCGAAGAGTATTTTAAGGAAGGAATATGTTTGAAATTCATTAAAATGAAAAAAACAAATACAGCAATATTTCCATTTAAACTTGCACGAGACGTGGTGGCTTAGGGGATAGAGCGCTCGCCTCCCAATGAGGCGAACCAGTGTTCGAATCCCGGGAATGGCTGGTCGATACGAATTCCGCACCCGGCTCGCACCGACCATAGTACTGACGTAAAATATCCTCAGATGTAGACGAATCATGGGTTAGAATCCTCTTCTCATGCGGGTTAGTTCCATCAAAAAGTCATCCACGAATGCAAAGTTCCTCCCAATACTTGATCCACGAGTTCCCTTGTCTTCTGGATTGGGTTCAAAATTACAAAGTTACGGAGTTGAAAATTAGTAGCTGTGTATCAAAAATTGGCTCGGCTGTTTAACGACTGTTATAAAGACAATATCGGTGCGTACCCTAGTAAAGGTCACGTGACTGCACGCTAATTGTTTTATAACATGGAGTAAGTGAATGTTGTCTTTTAACTAAACGCGTGTTTGTACGTTGCGATTATTGCAATAAATCGGCTTATATCTATAAATCGGCTATAGTCGTCGGTTATTATTACTAATAACAGGTGTTTAATGTTAATAATAACCTGTGTTTATTGTTAATAATAATAGCGGGTTATTATGGTTAATAATCGGGTATTAATTATTAATAATAAACACCGGTTATTATTAATAATAACAATACGTTATTATTAATAATAATCACACGTTACTATTAATAATAAGTTATAATTGTTAATGGACAGGTTCATTACTTTAACCTTACATGTATATTATATACACTCCATAATCCCATGTAATTAATTCAAGATGCAGCTGAAAATGTAGTTATAGTACCGAAGTGGTGAAATTTACCTTTTAGCCTTTATGCACAGAAAGTTACGAAAACAACTAATTAACTGAAGAAGTTATTTTCAGAAAAATATAATTAATCTTAGAACTACGGCTAAAAAATAAAAAGATTCTAATTCCAGTTTTAGCGACGTGAAATACATAACTTTAATTAATATTAATTACTTTTTAATATTAATTACTTTTTCATGAATATTAATTACTTTTTCATGAATATTAATTACTTTTTAATATTAATTACTTTTTAATGAATAATAATTACTTTTTAATGAATATTAATTACTTTTTAATGAATATTAATTACTTTTTAATGAATAATAATTACTTTTAATGAATATTATTTACTTTTTAATGAATATTAATTACTTTAATTACTTTTTATGAATAATATAACTTTAGCAGAAAAAAATTACATTTTAACCCAGAATTATATTAACATAATAAAAAAAATTGAGTTTCAGCGCAAGAAGTAAAACGATATTTATAATTTCTACCCTGCAAAATTAAAGTTGAAAAAAATAATTTTATTGATGTCAAATAAAACCGCATGAGCAACCCTGTTGCAGAATTTTTGCGGGTTTTCAGCTACAAAACTCTCTAGCACTAATATATTTCTGCAAGACAATTTCAATAATAATGCATGTTTATGTTACTAATTTAAGGTAATATGAGCGCTGTGTTCACAAAAAAAATAATAAAACATATAATTATTATCTTTGAATCTGCCCGCAGAAATAAGCAACTTCCAGTTTGCATACGGGCAGAAATAAGCACTTCTTGACTTTCCAAGATGACGTCCCTTCCGTCCCCTGTACCCCGGCTATTACTACTGCTGTAATATAGGATTTTAAAAACTATATGGAAATCAAAAGCAATACTTGCCAAAAAAAAAAAACGATAGGATCGTTTGCTTTAAAAAGTAAACAAATGCACTATTCGAATTTCCCAATATCGTCTGAAATCTATCGGGTTAATTAAAATCCACGTGAAAATCAATAAACTGCAGAAAATACAATCGAAACACTACATGGATTTACGATACTATCGGCGTAAGTTGATCAAGACCAAAAAGTTAATATTTAAAATGCACGATTCAGATTTAACGGATAAATTTCTGCAGAAAAGAAAATAATTTTTTTTTCTTCCCAAAAGAAAAATATTTCTGCAAGAACTCTATAACGTTCTGCGACAATGTTGCTCTGATTCTGTCACAACACTGTAGGCCAGAAGACCATGATCTTTCGCCAAAAGTCAAAATTACATTTTCAACTGAAATATGTGTAGGCAGTTTTAATATAGCCCAAATTAAGTATTCGTAATCATTCCAAACATTATAGTTTACTTTTTGGACCGACGAGAGTACAATGTAGTGAAAAATATGTTAAAAACTTTTTTTTTAATGTAGCTTTTAAATTTATATTTCAGAAATATATATAGAAATTTAACCTTACTGTTACAGTTTAATCAGAGTAATTAGTCTGAAATTATAGTACAATTTTTCAATTTGTTGGATTAGTTAATACTCTTGACAAACTTATAGTTTATATCTTATCATTTGACATTTTACAATGTTTGAATCACTTTCGAAACTTATCTCCAAAAAGTTCCACGAGGTAATTAGCTAAACTTTTTTTTGTTGTCTTCTTTGATGTTTNTTTATACCAAATAATCAATCTGTTTTTTGCTACTAAAGCTTATTTTTCCCTACAGATGTTTATTTTGTTGAGTAAATAATGAAATTAAAAAAATATATATAATGGACAATGAGAAATCATCATTGGACTCAAAAAACATTCATTCAAAATAATTTTAGCTTTGTTCAAATTGCAATTGCTTATTTCAATTACTTTTTTATGAAAACAAATAATAAATAAATAAATAAAATAGAATAAAATAAAATAAAATAAAATAAATATATTGATTTTAAATGATTGATTTTAAAATAAAATAAAATAAATAAAATGATTTTATTATCTTTTTAGTTTTATCAGAATAAACGTTTAAATCATTCTTACTTTGGTTCCATTTCTTTAGAAATGGATTTTTTCCCCTACCAAGTTTAATTGGAACGAAAATGCTAAAAATGAACAAGACACTCAGCGAAATGTTTCATTTTTGGATAATATTTTCGAGGAAAATTCGATTCATCTTTCAAATTACACAGTTCCCCGAAATACAAATATACGACGCAGCGAAATCGAAAAACAAATAATATGCATTTTAATGATCAGAAAAAAGTGATATCCAATTAATTTCACACTCGTGACCACCTCTCGAAGTTCAAGGTCAAAAAAACAAAATTTTGCTCGCCAAATCTCTCTTTCCATCTATCGCCTTGTTTGGCACTATTGTCCCGATTTGGCACTTTCATTAGGCATCCCTAATGCACTCTCCACAGAAATCAAAGTTGTGTCTAAACTAAAAGCTGACCGTCAGAAATAATTTCTTCCGCTCTCTAACATGACAAGCGGTGATCCGTAAAGGCCGGACGAATACCCTGAGGCCAATTTTTGTATATTCATCTAGTCCCTTATCCACTTTCCCCCGTCAAAATGCTCAAAAAGAAAAAAAATGAACAAGTGACTAACTGCCCTGTATGGAATGGACGTCATTATGTCAAAGAATTACTACGATATTACGCAGATGAACAAATAAAAGCGGAGTACAGTTGCGGTTAAAATGGAAAGAAAAAAAAGTACAATAGGGGGAGGGGGATATTTTAGATTCTCCATCTATTTTTTCCATCTTTTACCGTTGCCAATTACAGTTTATTTTATTCTTTTTTTATTGTTTGCGAAAAAAAAAATGACGGAAAGAACATTTTATCGTTTGCATTAGTCGAGGGGTAACATTCACCTTTTTAGTTAGTAATGATCGTCTGCGATATTTTTCCGGCTTTTGTGTTTAAGACAGGTTTTATTGGAATGAAAAGAGCGATAGCCTCACGTAGCTGATCAAGACCACCTTATTTAGCTTCCATTCTAACAAAAATATATTTAAATAATTTGACAATTATTACTGAACATGTAACAAAAAATTATCTTTCATTAATTTCTCCGAGATATAAATATACAATTCCCCCCTCCCCTGTTCCAGCTTTAAAAATTAACTTTTCAAACTTGGTACTATAAAGTCTAAAAATATTTTAAAAATAATTGGCTAGCAAAAGCATGAATAAAAGTAAAAATATTAAAAAATAACGGGCTAGCAAAAGCATGAATAAAATAAAATAAACACATAAAGAGATAAACAATAAAATGAAAGCAGACGATAAAATTAGAAGACCATTTTAGAAGAATAGAGTTATTGGATTATTTAGAGATTAGTTTTGTTTTGGAATTTGAGTTTTCTTATAAACCGTTACGGGATTTTCTAGTTGTTTTATAAGATTATCTATATCCCGTTACGGGTTTTTCTAGATTGTTTTATAATATTTTATCTATCCCGTTACAGATGAATTTTCATATATCCCGTTACGGGCACTTTTTCTAGTATGTTATATAAGATTTAACTATCCCGTTGCGGGTACTTTAAATTTGTTACTGTATTTGTTGTGGTGTGAAATAAATGTTTTTTTAATAAAACAAAGACTTGTTTCTTATTATAGCTTGATACGTTACAGTACCCATAAAATAACAACTTAACAAATTTTCCCATTGATAATGATTTTAAGGCAGAAAATGATTTTATTTCCCCTTTGTTAACGCTTCGGAGAATTATATATAAACGTAATTTCCTAACTAACAAAATAAATAATTAATACTTATGAATATTTTTCTGTTTAATTTTATGTACTGAAATGCTTTCCATTAAACCTAACCAAATTTACCAAATTTTAATTTTTTAAGTATTTTTTAAAACTTGAACTTCGAAAAGGTTTTTAAACCATTACATTTTGAGTCTGGTAACTTAAGTTCAATAGAACACTTTTCAATGAATAAAATGAAACAAAATATATACAAAAATATAATTATCTGCTTAATAAGTAAGGAAATTCCGTAAACATAATTTCCAAACACAGAGGAAATAGAATCACTTTACTATATGAAGAGAGCGTTTAAAAGTACTTTAGATCCATTTTCACCTAAAAAAAACCTCAGTATTATGAGTTCATCAATTACATAAGAAAATAGGATCTCACTTTAGCTTAAATTTGAATGCTTAATAAAATTATACTTTATACTTAAATAGCCAGTTGGAGGCCTTATATTAAAAAATTGAATCAAAGTGAACGATTATAAAATTTAAAAATATTTTCTGGAATTCATTTTTTTTCCTTCACTGTAAGCGATGTTTCTTGAGAAAAAAAAATAGGTGTTAGGTCCACACATTTATTTATCACATTACAAATCGAAGGCGAACTCTTTGCCAACTGTTTGTTCGACACCACAGAGACAGCAGATGATTTTTAAAGATAAGAAACCGGATTTAGTTTCTAATTAGTAGCATCAATGAGTGGCATACTCTATGACCTTTATCGCATTTAGAGGTCATGATACCTGTCGAATGTTTGCAGGTCGCTCTGAAAGAAAGATTCACTTTTTTATGTTGTTATTTACTCAGTATCACCTCTCATGTGGCGTTTTTGTGTTTTTTTTTTTCTTCTTCTTCTTTCTTTATGGTGAATGTTTTATCGATTTACATTTATCAATTATATATATTATTTTTTATATATTTGTAATATTTGAGAAGCATTTTAAAATTAATACGTATATTCTAAAATTCTGACATAATTTAAAAGCTTAGCTGAAGAAGATAGTTTTATACTTAAATTTTAATTATTTTTCAATCAAGTCATTAACTTATAGAATTTAAGATTGTAGTTTGTTAACAGCTTCATACTGTTGCTGTATTTGCTAAAGCTGATGCTTCTAATTTGGCTAATATGTTACAAGGAAACTTCTTCCGTTACATTCCTGTTGTTGTTCACTTATGCCCGTTCAGCCAGAGGTGTGCGATTGTTCTTGTTTTCCAGTGGCGCCATCTATGGCCAAGAATTCGACTTCTGCCACACCATACGTCACACTCGTTTATAGCACGGACCCATTCATACATCCATTCATTCATCCACAGATTGTAATTTAGACCTCAATCAGAGAACGATTGATCTCCAATCCAGTACCCCCAGAGGTTTTGATTTGTTATGGGAACACGGGGGACTTTCGCAACTCGACAGATTTAACGTGAATCATTCACTATACTACACGGGGAGTCCTCGCCGGTGGGGTTCGAACCCACGAACTCTCGGACGTGGGACCAACGCCCTACCGACCAGGCTATCGTATAATAATGATAAGAGTATAATAAGCGTACGTGAAGTTATTTTTACGGTATGATTAAAAGTGAAAACAGATTAGAATGCATACACCACTCACTAATTTTTAAAGTGAAATTAGCTCGAAAATATCAAATAAAATATTAAGACAACTTCGAATAAGGCTTAATTAAATAAGAGCGGATAAAAATTGAATATTTTAAAAATATTAAATACAACTGACAGATATTTAAAAATTAATATCTGATTATTCTTATTACACAACTAAAAACATTCTCGCATTTTCCCAACGCCAAACTTTTGTCTTTGTAACGCTAGAGCAGCGAGCACGATAGCAAGTTCCACGCTATTTCGTACTCAAATCTGTCTACTGACATCTAAACATCTTCGAACTGTGTATAAAGTTCGACAAAATAGGCATATTTTGAAGAGGAAAGAATTCACGGATGGTGTGAATGCTCTCAAACTTTGTGTGAGCATTTTTCTTAATTATTGTTTAGATTTAACTGCATTCTTTAGAGTATATACAGGGTTATTCATAATTCCCTCCGCCTGTAAACACCATTTTGTTTACTACAACTGACTTCAGTGGTACATCTTACTGCCATCTACCGGCAACTGCTTAAATTAAAACTTGAATATTTTCGGAATAATTTCATATGTTCTTTTTTGCCATATTCTTCTCTTTTTTTTTTACTATACCTCTTCGAAACCCCGGAGGGAATTTTGAATAACCCTGTATATGAACGGCCGATTTTGGTGTTAACTTGAATTAAAATATTTTTTTACGCAATTATTTAGGTTGTTCGACACCAAATTCGGAAAATTGAGTGTTATTCACTAATTACTAAAATTGAGTGTTATTCATTGATAATTACTAAATTGAGTATTATTCATTAAATATCAATCACGATGGGGGGGACTAAAGATTTTTCTTAAATTTCACTTTTTTTTAAATATTTAAGCTGTTTGCCGCTTTTAAAGCCCGTGAAATTATTATCAACAAGGTAGTATTACTGAACAAAATTTTATTTTATAACCGTTGTTGAACAGCCGACCCAATTTTTGGGTTTACTACAACTAATGTTCTACGCCGTAGCCTTGTAAGTTTGAATCCAATCCATAAGACAAGGGAACTCCAGGATCAAGTATTGGGAGAAAATTGCCCTCGTGCAGGACTTTTTGATGAAACTAGCCGCATTTGTGTTACATGAAGAGAAAAGCCACGAAAACCTCCCACGGTTAGCCTGACGACAACTGAACTCTAACCCATCATCCGTCTACCACTGAGGATATTGCACGGTGCGAGCCGCATGCGGAATTCGTATAGACCAGACATCACTGGGATTCGATACCGGTTCACCTAATTGGAAGGCGAACGCTCTATCCCCTGAGCCATCGTGGCCCTACCGAACAAAATTGAAGCTTTGCTTCCGCGTTGAAAAGCAATCAGACTTTTTTTTATGATTAATATTTTGAAAAGTAACTTTAAAGAATGCTCTTCAGCACTTGAATTTGATAACTTGTAAAATCAACATGACTGAGTGTTAAGATGTTAAACATACCTTCAGTAGGACGGTCTTCCACAATAGATCTTGCTAACGTCTTATCACAACCAGGAGGATCTCCACCTGCTGGGTAAAAATCTAAATCTCCTGCATCTTCTGCTGTCCCAAAACCTATGAAAATATAACATTTTTTAAAGGTTAATTTTAGTATAATACTCCCATTCTCATTAGTTTACATATTTTTAGAAGTTTTACATTGAAAAATGGATGGTTAAATATTCATAGAAATTAGAGAATATCGATAGGTATGTTCAACAGATGCTCAGACGAGAGATACGAAATACGCAAGTCCGTACTCATCATCTTAGCTATAGAATATAGCTATTGTTAAAAAGTAGTGTCTACTTAAACTAAAAAGACTATGGAATGCAGCTATTGTTAAAAAGTGATGTCTAAGTAAACTAAAACGACTTTTGAGTGTAGCTATTATTAAAAATTAGTGCTGCCTAGGTAAACTAAAAAGACTATGGAATATAGCTAATGTTAAAAAGTGATGTCCAATGTTAAAAGATGATGTCCAAGACTTTGGAGAGTAGCTATGTTTAAAAAGTAGTGGTGTCTTGGTAAACTAAAAAAAAAACTATGGAATGCAGCGATTATTGTTAAAAAAGTGATATCTAGGTAAACTAAATGGAACAATGGAAAGTAGCTAATATTAAAAAGTGATGTCTAAGTAAACTAAAAAGACTTTAGAATGTAGCTATTGTTAAAAAGTAGTGGTTTCTAAGTCAACTATAAAGACTATGGAATCTAGCTATTGTTAAAAAGTAGTGTCTAGAATAAACGGTCACAAAATATCTTTTTCTACTAATAATTCCTTTCTACAACTTCATAGTTCCTGTTTTTCCCTTATCTCAACTGATTTCTAGAAAGGAATAGTACTTCTGCCGCCTTCCAAAAGGTGGTGCTTTTAGCGGTCTTTGTAGCGCACTACTTTACCATACCTAGACACTATTTTCATAACTATAATTGCAGCTGTCCAAAAGTAATGAGGGTGACTTGAATGAGCATTACTATAATATGTACCAAAGATTTTTTAACGCGAAAACAATAGGTGTTACGAATTTGTACTTTTTCATTGCTTCGTCAAGAATAATTTAAAAAAGTTCCGAATTTGTCAAGTTTAACTCAAAAAAGTATTCATTTCAATCAGCTGAAGTAATTATGATATTTTTCATTGCATAAATAACAGTATTCTATTAATTTTGTTTAAGTATTGTATATGTGTGTGCCTAGAACGAGAGCTTCGATAAATATTGTCCTCATAATTTTATTTCTAAGAACACTTATCCTGACAATTATTGACGCATAGTAGTATATTTTTACAGCTAAAATATTCTTCAATATTTCATATTGAAAAATATTTTGTATTTTCATTTAAGTATGCATACATATGTCATGCAAAAAAAAGTACAACTACCAATAAATCGAGAAAACAAATGGGTCTAGGCAAGTAATTCAAACCAGTAATGAAATAAATTTTTAAATAAATCAATGTATTAAACTCTCCTAATCCGAAAACAATTTATTACAAATAATTCAAATCAATGCATTCAAGTCGTTAGTTTGTTTATCAACATTATCATAATGAGTCATTTAAACTAAAGAATTCATATTACTAGTTAAAAATGATTCATTCATATAATATTGGTTAAATTTTACTGACAAATATTAGAATTTCATTTTCTATGCGATTACACTCAGCACTCGTTGAGAATTAAATGATTCTTCTGCGGAAAGCAACTATTCACATATTTTAATAATAATTATTTTTATAATTTTAATAATATTTTAATAATTCAATAATAAATGTAATCAATAATATTATATAATAAATAATATTTTAATAATTTAAATTATTTTTTAATATGATAAATAATATTTTAATAATTCAAATTACATTTAATATAATAAATAATATTTTAATATAATCAATAATATTTCAATATAATAAATAATATTTTAATATAATAAATAATATTTAAATAATTTAAAAATATAATTAAAATAATAAAAATTAATAATTTTTTATTATTTTAAAAATATTTTTGTTACTTTAATAATACAAATTTTTATGATTAAAATGAGTATTTACTTACTACAGTAATGAGTAATTTTTTGCTTACTACAAGAATTTTTTTTAATAGCTCTAGTTTAGCATCGCAATTATTTTTACTGAAAACATCGTTTCAATTCCTTTTTAAATTTTGTACTGGGAGGAACTCTTCTTAAAAGAAAAAAAATAATAAAATCGGTGTTCTCATTAGAAAATTCAGAAATTCTGCCACTATAACTCTAAACAAGAGAGCGCGATTATAGGTTGTAATCTTATTCTTGGGCGCTTACCTCATAGTACTATTATAAAAAAATTTATTCGGTAATTTCTAAAGGTATGCTTGTCAGATATCATAATCATCCTACGTATTTCTTAAATTTGATTCGTCGTATAAAATCTCCAGCTACAAATTTTTTTGTCAATTAAAACTATTTATTTTTTTTTTGTTCTGAAATAAACATATTTGTATTCGAAGATGATTTTTTTTTGATGTTGCATAAAGTAATGATTATGAACGCATAATTAATTTCGTTAAAAAAACAATGAAAAAATTATTAAATCACTAATTCAAAATAGCTTAAGTTTCCAGGAAATTATGGAAAATGTATTTAATATTCAAGCCTCGTCTTAGAATAAATATCATCTCGAAAAAGTCGTTTGAAATCAGTGAAGCGTTATAAAGGTTGGTATTAGTTCGTTACGCTTGTCACCTCTTTGTGTGATAACTTTTGCATCGTAAGAATTATTTTGAAATGCATTCACTTTCGATAAAAATTGCTTATTTCAAAAGTATCTTATTTTATTGTCCTTAAAATTATGTAAAAGAGAGTGACAATGCTACAGATTTTAAATTACGAATTGTGAAGCAATATCGGAATGACTTATTATCGGCCACCGTGGTGTAGTTCATATTTCCTTTGTTTCTTAGATACAACATATAACAAATTTGAAAAAAAAGGTAATTTTATTATTTTAAGGGTGGCACCTGGGTTCAAATTTTACGTATAATATGACCACTGTTATGCAGAACAGTTGGGACAGGATACTTTGGATAATATGACCACGGTTATCCAGAACAGTGCATTTTATATAATTTGGTAATTAATTTAATTTGTTCTAATTTTACAAAAAGAAAAAAGTAAGATAATTATCTTGCCCTATTCAATTCTTGCAAGAGTGCCGCCACAACATCAATTTCTACAGATTCCAAGAAAAGAAAATTTTTAAGAATTTTTTTTTTGCCCAAATAAATTCTTGCAGGAATGTCGTCATACCATCACATTAAATTTATTTTGGAATAATACAATTGTGAAGAAGTTTTTTTGAATGATTCGATTCTTGTGAGAGTAAACCCGAAATTAATCAATTTGTATTGATTCTAAAAAAATAAAAATTTTAAGGGGTTCTTTTGAAAAAATCAATTCACGCAAGAGTGTCACCATAACAATATTTTGTACTAATTTCGAGGCAATACAATTGTAAAGTTCTTTTAACTAATTTAATTCCTTAGAGAACGCTACCATAACCTCAATTTGTGCTAATTTCACAGTCGTAAGGAAGTTCTTATCAATTCATTTTTACCAGATTTGCCGCTGTCTAATACACGAAAGTTTTCTTTTTTAAGCAAGGAAAATAGCCAGTTTATCGAAATAACTTTCAACGTTTTCAGATAACTGCAAGAAAAGAATTTACGCCAAATTTGCATACAAAATAAATAAAAAATATTTTACCTTCAAGAATAGTTTCGCCCGGATCTGAGTGGATAACATCAACCAGCACAGCATCACTCGGGTCAAGACGAACGTTGTCAGGAACTCGGCGATAAAAAGGTCCAGCGGGGTCAAGACCTAAAATAGCATTTCAATAGAAAGAAATAGCGAAAATGTGAAATACAAAGAAAAAGAAATAGTAGATTGAAGGTTTAAATGACACATGGAAATGAACAAAATATATACAAAAGCGTTTATTCTTGACGACTTTTGCAAAGATATTAAGTTGATGAAAGCATATAACCGCCAGCTAATTTACGGAGAAACGGAGAATTGTAATAAAAATTGGACCTTTGACCACAGGATTTTTAATTTACTAAGTTTTTATGAATGTTTATTTTATTATGCCTTTTTTCCTCTTAAGTAATCTATTTTCTCCCAAATGAACTTAACTGTAAAAGGGAATTAGACAGAGAGGTATTCTAAATATGATTTTAATCCCCATTTATTTAATTCCTTATAGGTCCACTTCTTTCAAGTGATATTTAGGTGAATGAAATTGATTTGAATCAGGGTTGTCATGATTTAAATCACTTGATTCAAATATTGATTAAAATCGCTATTTAAATCCCTTGATTTGTTTTTTTTTTTTAAATTCATTCAATTAAATAAACTGTGATTTTTCTCTTAAAAAAATCATTCATTTAAATTTTAAATTTTTTTTAATTAAAACAGGCTGAAAATATTTTAAAAAATGTATTCTTGAGGGTGAAATTCTTGTTTAAGTCTGGTTTCATTTATAATGAAGGTTTCATACAAAGTAATAATGAAAGGGCAAATTATTACAGTTCAAAATACTAATTATAAATAAAATTAGTGACTAAAAGTGAAAAACAGTGATGTTAAACTGTTAAATAATAAATTTTCATTAGCGCTATGTAAAATAATTTGCTGGTAAAAAACATTATACTCCTTCGATTTTAGGTTTATTTGAATACTTTAAGTGCTTTTCAAACATATAAAATATGTAGTTAGTATTTGCATCCTTTCTCTACGTCATCTCTCTGTATTTATACTTCAGCGATGTCGAGAATCTTTCATAGTAACGGTTCTAACCAAAACATGTGAATATATAATATTATGCTTTTCAAATTATAAGTTAAATTAGCCATATGCAAAACAAACTAATTAAACAAAAACAAAACAAAAAATTATATTGCAAGTTTTTGCATGCGTGATTAAGAAAAACAAATCATTCTTTACAGTACACAGTGGGCCAGCATTCAAGGTTTCGTGGCCAAAATTACTCTTTCGATAAAATTTGTTTCAAAATTTGGGGGGTTTTTATTTAGGGGTTTTTATGTGCAGGTAAATTGAATTCATAGTTGAAATTTTGAAACACACTAAAAATGCCCAAAAAAACAAAATGGCGGCTGAAATATGGCGAGCAAAAAAAAAAAAAAATTATATATATATATAATACATTTAAATAATTAAATATAGCAATGAAAATATAATAATTTTCGTAATTTTATATTAAAAATGAAAATCAAATTATACTTCCGAACTTATATTACAAAATAATGCGAAAACATGAAGAAAAAAAACATAATTTTTGTTTATCGAAATATTTAGTCCACCTTTGCAATACGGGCAAAATGAGGCAGGTTTTTTCGAAAGAAAAAACATCAAAGAAGACAACAAAAAAAGTTTAACTAATTACCTCGTGGAACTTCTTGGAACNAATGAAAGGGTAAATTATTACAGTTCGAAATAATTATAAATAAATAAAATTAGTAAATATTTTAATTAGTTAGTAAATAATTAAACTAAAAATTAATAATTTAATTAATTAAGAAATTAATTAGTAAATAATTAAATTGCAAAAGTATTTTAAAAAATGTGTTCCTGAGGGTTCAATTCTTGTTTAAGTCTGATTTAATTTATAATGAAGGTTTTGTAGAAAGAAATAATGAAAGTGTGAATTATTACAGTTCGAAATAATTATAAATAAATAAAATTAGTACATATTTTAATTAGTTAGTAAATAATTAAATTGAAAATTAATAATTTATTTAATTAATAAATTAATTAGTAAATAATTAAATTGCAAAAATATTTTAAAAAATATGTTCTAGAGGGTTCAATTTTGGTTTAAGTCTGATTTCATTATAATGAAGGTTTTATATAAAGAAATAATGAAAGGGTAAATTATTACAGTTCGAAATAATTATAAATAAATAAAATTAGTAAATATTTTAATTAGTTAGTAAATAATTAAATTAAAATTAATAATTTAATCAATTAATAAATTAATTAGTAAATAATTAAATTAAAAAATCCATTCTTGTGGGTTCAATTCTTGTTTAAGTCTGGTTTCATTTATAATGAAGATTTTATACAAAGTAATAATGAAAGGGCAAATTATTACAGTTCAAAATACTAATTATAAATAAATAAAATTAGTGACTAAAAGTTGAAAACAGTGATGTTAAACTGTTAAACAATAAATTTTCATTAGCGCTACTTAAAATAATTTGCTGGTAAAAAACATTATACTCATTTAATTTTATGTTTATTTGAATACATTAAGTACTTTTCAAACATACTAAATATGTAGTTATTGTTTGCATAATCTTCTCTCTGTATTTATACTTCAGCGACGTCGAGAATCTTTCATAGTAACGGTTCTAACCGAAGCATGTGAATATATAATATTATGCTTTTCAAATTATAAGTTAAATTAGCCATATGTAAAACAAACTAATTAAACACAAACAAGCAAAAAATTATATTACAAGTTTTTGCATGCGTGCATTAACAAAAACAAATCGTTCTTCACAGTAACGGAAATGATGTAGGCTAAAGACAAAAACTCCTTTTAGACTTGCATAGGTTGATATATCTATTAAAGTAAAGAAATTTCGCTACAGTCTGTTGCGTGCCATGATGTCATGGAAGTTAAAGCTCCTAAATTTTGTGACCAAGATCCTTGTATTGTCCGTTTACCAGACATCCTGATATCCAGCGTCAGATATAGCCCCAATTCATTAAAATGACAACTCAGTTCCTTTAAACCTATGCAGATCATTATTATTTGTAAGAATTTATGGAACTAACCTGTGATCCTCCCAAGCTTGTGAAGTCTCTCACCAGCATAGCCTGCCACGTGTGACCCAAGACTGTGCCCAAGCAGGTGGAAACTCTCAGGAGAAGCCCCAACAGTTTTCTAAAAAAAATATTCATTTTTAGCAAAAATTAGTTACTCTTACATGAAAATTCCAGCTGCGCTTACCGAAACAATCTGCCGCGACTCACTGAGAGTGTCCGATGCTTTATCGAACAATCTTTTCTATTTCTGTGATATTAACCTGTATTATTTTCTATGTAGCCGGGATAGCCTGGTGGGCAGGACGCTTGACTGTCGTTCGTATGAACTGGGATTCAAATCCAGCCGTCCGAAGTGCTGTAAATGGTGACTGGTGCACGTTAAATCTATCGGGTCACAAAGTCTCTATTTGCCATAACAAATTATGCATCTGGAGGTACTGAATTGGAGATTGTTCGTTCTCTGGTTCAGGTCAAAATCACGATCTGAGAATGAATGGATGTGTGAATGGGTCTGCCCTATAAATGGGTGTGGCAGAAGTCGAATTTTTGGCCATAGATGGCGCCACTGGAAAACAAGAACAATCGCACCCCTTGTCTTAATGGCCTAGGACAACAACAACTTCTTTATGATAATTACCGGCCGACGTGTGCAGAGCGTCGTTGGCAATTTTGTGATAGAAACATATTGACGTGCTCAGTTTTCACTATTTGTGCCACTAGAATAATTTGTTAACTGGATAGTGTTCAGATATTCTCTATTTTATGCAAAAATAAATGTTTAAAATTAAAAATCAGAATCATATTTTGATTTAATTTATAGAACATAATCATTCATCCTCATATATGTATAAGATAAATTTATTATATATTCCAATATATATATTCCAATATATTCCAATTATATATTCAACCTACACATTTCCTCCTTGATGATTGGGTATATACACAATAAATTAAATATAATACTTAATTATTTAAGATCATGGAAAAAGCTTGTATACGTACATATAAGTAATTGATGAATTGTGCAATGACTGCGCCAACTACTCTTGTATTAGCCACAGCAATTGTGTAAGGAAATCTATTGGATCCGCTCCAATCCACAATGATGACATTTTCGTCTGCTCTTTCCAGAATCGCGTCCTTCAGCCTCTGCACCAAAAAACAAATAGAACACAGAACAAAATTGAAAATCACGAACTATGACCAGTTTTATGACATTCTTTCATTCATTCCTCTATCGAACCATCATTTCACCAATTCCGCGACTCTCATTGCTGCTTTGAATTGAAGGCATTAAAGTTAAATTTTCATTTACTAATTCATGAGATAAAGCCGTTATTGAACTATAAATGTCTGACTTCAATCCTGCAATGATGTAAATATTTAAACCTAATTGGATATTTTCTTCTGTTACCTACCACTTTATAAAGGTTAAGAGCTGAGACTTTTTATTCAGATTTAAATATTTATGTTATTCATTTGTAGTTACTGTCTTTCATTAAAAACAATTACCTAATAAAAAACACCCGAGCTAACAGTTTTTTTTTAATTTGAAAAAAGGAATTATTGCAATGTAGCACAAAGAACTAAAATCAAATGGACTAATTAGTTTTTATTTATAAACTCTTTTAAACCTTGTTTTATTCATATTAATTTCATTAAATCAGTTCCTTTATGAAATCCTTTATTAATTTTTTTAACCATTTTCTACATTGATTCATTTAATCATTCCGTTCATTAACGCCCTTCATTTTTTATGTCTAAAGCTATTCATTAATTTTAATACTACATTCACTATTTAACACTTTCACACCTGAAAACTGTTTTTATTAATTTTTTACTCGCTGAATATTAACCTGAAAATATTTCTTCAATTATGTTTGAATTTTCATTACATTAATTTGCCATTTGATTCAATTTTCTTTCTCATATTTATGTGATTTTAATTCACAATTGTAATCACCTAAAAAAGCAAAAATAAGATAAACATAATTTTTAAAAAAAATTTAAGAGAATGCATCAAAATTGGAATTAAATTAGGAGAATGTATCAAAATTAGAAACAAATTAGGAGAATGTATCGAAGTTAGAAACTCGGCCTAAGTAGGGATGAAAGAGAATTTATAAAATTGAGCTCTTTAAATAAAAGAGAATGTAAGAGAATACAATAAATTGTCTTATTTTAACGAAGTAGTAAAAACATTAAATGGAAAGTTCATTAACAGTTTAAATAAAACCATTCATTTGAATAAAGTCGCACTAACCTGGAACCAAGAATTGATATATTGATTGTCATTGACACCGTGAATAATCATCCTCGTTAATGCAGATGGATTGAACGTTGTCTTCTTAATGCTTCGGCCCCGTTTAACGGAGAGAAAAACGGGTCTATTCTTGTTTCTGCGGGTATAAAGGTGAAACATGGTATTGATGATTTCGGGTGACTGCGGTACAACACTGAGGGGACGATATATCGGGTGATAGAATGGAGG